TCTTTGGCACTGGTCTCCCTTATGTCCGGCTTTGCGGGTCACGTCTGTGGTCCCCCCACACTCACTTTGAAACATTCCACGGGAGAGATCCATGCATGATCACAACTGCACACAAACAGGCGTTTACATCCTGGGTTTTATATTCGGGCACTGACGAAGGATATGTGCATATGTGTATGTATGTGTGCATGTATGTACTGTATATGGGCATGTATATGTATGGGTATGTATGTGTGCATGTATGTATTTGTATGTAAGTATGTATATGAAAGTGTTTGGATATGTAGGTAGGGGTATGGTTGTGTATATATTTGTATATGTAAATGGGTATGGTTTTCAGCAAGGCTTAAGTCATTATAATGACATAGTTATGCATTTTTGTTGCTGTGGTTTTGCTATCTTTGTTTTGTAGGTGTGGCGCCGAGAAGTCCGGTGTGCTGTCTTGTGTTTTCTCAACGTATAATTTACATATCTTCTAATCTCTTTTTCACTCTTTCTCAATGCATTTCACTTTTTTCTTTTTTCTTCTTTTTCTCCAAAAAAAAACATAATAATGGTGTGGAGAGGATGGCTAAAGGGGGAGAAGGGAGGCCATCAAAAAAAAAAAAAATGAAATGTTTACTAACTGAAAGGAGACTGTAAATGAAATCAAAAGGCGAAAGAAGTTTTAATAGAATCAGTTAGTTGCAATTAGTTACCAATATTGGCAAATTCTTGCTCTGTTTTTGACACATTGTTAATGTTAGTTATTTAGCAATCTTGTGGTAAAACTAAAAGAAAGTATAAATAGAAGCAAAGTATATACATTTAAAAACATTTGGAGATGTGTAGAGGAGGATAAAAACAAAAAAGTGAAAGCTGTCTTCCTCTGAAAGGGTGCTTATTAAGTGTAACAATGTATAAAGTACCCTGTAGTAGTTGAATGTATAATGTAATAAAATAACAGAAATTGTTTATGACACTTCAGCACAAAGAGGACCCTCTGGCTGGCTTCAACACTGAAACACTGCTGTTTTGCACCCTTGACCTGATTGAGGCTGGAACAGAATCAGCTGCCAACACATTACGCTGGGCCCTCGTGTACATGATGAACTACCCAGAGATACAGAGTCAGGTTTTRTTYAYTRCAYAAARCAAKTGAATTATCCARCAAMTGKTAGCTGAAGATAAACTTGAGGTTCATAATAAAGTTTTTAATCTCTGCTTTTTCTTTCAGCAAAGGTCCAGGCAGAGATAGACAAAGTAATTGGACAGTCTCGTCAGCCCACCATAGCTGATAGACCCAACCTACCCTATACTGACGCTGTTATTCACGAGAGCCAGCGGGTGGGAAATATTGTTCCCTTGGGATTTCCTAAAATGGCCAGTAAAGATGCAACACTTGGAGGATACTTCATCCCCAAGGTAGGAGAATATTCACCAAAATCTCCAAGAGACAAAGGTCACGTTGTAAAATTTGTAAATCAATGTACTTACTGACAAAGCAAGTCGAGCACCCAGACAAGGTGGTGGAAATTAATTTAAACTGTCTGTATTGAATAACTGAGGGACCGTATTACAGTAATTATAATAAAATAAAGGATGGATATCAGTACGGACATACTGCTGGTCTTCTAACAGTAGCATGTGACATCATTTTTAAGTCTAGATACAAGCAGTAATTCAGTGTGGAACAGTCAAACATTCTTCATAATTCTTCCTATGGCAAGTTGGTCTGCAGCTGTTGTAACTGTTTTGCTGGGAATAAATCATTGGATCTGGCTGGACAGCAACATGACAAAGGCAGTCCACAGACACATGTGTCAACTGGACCAGTGTGTTGTCTTTGGAGGGTTAAGACATGTGGTTGCAGGTTATCCTTAAAGTAGTGCTAGGCCATAATGGTCCCTAAATCACTAAAGGGCCCAGCATGTTCCATTTGAAGTCAAACAGTTGGCAGGTGATCATATGGTTGCTTAACGTTAGTTTGCTTGACATTTGTTTTTACACACAACTTTCAGAGTCCACAAGACACAACGCCGACATCCTGGGAAACCTTTCCTGATGCTGTAGACATCACAGGGGTTTCTTCTTGCTGGAGACAACACTGATTTCCACCATTTGACCAAAAATCTGCAATGGATGTAGCATCACACTTTCCGGCAGAAAGAACATTTTGTATGAATAATCTGAAGGAGGCCCCTAAGAAATGAAACAGAGGTGGCTAAATTCAATGACCATATGAAACACAGGGTATGGAAATGGTAAATGGACTGAGCTTATATAGCGCTTTATCAAGTCCCTCCAGACCCCAAAGCGCTTTACACTTTACACTTACAGACATTCACCCATTCACACTCACACACTGATGAAATGACTGGTGTACTGTCGCTCCCTCCTAGTAACACAGACTAGCAGCTTCATTTGAACTATTTACTGAAATTCAACACAAGATACAGGCTATTGTTAGTGTGGTGGGTGACCATGTTTTTATATTAAATTAAATTAAATTAATATTATAAATACGAAAGCTGCCACAAATATATTATCAAACTATTTAATGGCACATTTGGGCTAACCATTGAAAACATGGATGAAATAAGAAATATGAAACAATGTAAAATACGTAGTAAACATAAAGACTGTTTTTAAAATTTGAATTTTTGGAGGAAAAATGGCAATATATTGCAATACATCGTTATCGTATTGTGACCCCTGTGTATCATATCACCAAACTCTTGCCAATACACAACTCTATTTCATGAGATGTCTCTGAAGTTTGAAGAGTCCCAGTCTACAGTTAGCAGCAGCCAGAACAGTGGCTGTAGGTCACCTCCATTTACCCAAACCAGCTCTAGTCCCACTGGTTTGAGCCACTCCAGCCATTGTCGTCCAGCAACCGAAGAGAGCTGAGCCTGTGGAAAAACACCTCCTGAAGACGGTCTTGCTCCTTCTGGTGTAAACATGAATAAGCTGTTTTTGGAGTTCAACAAAACATGACCATATGCAAAACATGATATGGCACCTGTTCAATCCATGACTTTGATCTCTGCTCTGGGGTAATGGTAGCCTCAGCAGTAAACCTGCAGTCTAGCTGAAGCAAGTGATTGTGATCATGTCTGGGATGACATGATGAGTTGTATGTGTCAAAAACCTGCATTTAAATATCAGGCTCAGACACTTGGTGCAAAATACAACAGTCCTCACTTAGTGTGCTTCGTCTTGGGCGACCAAAACCTTCTTGGCCTGTGTAGTCCCATTGGTTCCATTTGATTAATGCCACCATCTGTTCAGTCCACAGCTGGGCAGTTGTGCAATACAACTACTTGGCTTTGTGCAAATCCACAATATAACCTCTGTCAAACCTTGTCAAGAGCTGGAAATTCTTTCTAACCCTGCATAACAAAGCACTACCATTACCATACAAATGGTTGGTCTTTGTTTGAAACAAATTTTGCTCAAAATGAATAATTCCTTATGGATGATTAGCCTTTTTTTTATCATTTAGTATGTTTGTACTCAACAGAGATCATCATGTTATTTCTTTTTGTCCAGGGCACAGCTATCACTACAAACCTAGCCTCTGTGCTGTTCGATAAAAATGAGTGGGAGACTCCAGACGTCTTTAATCCTGGGCATTTCTTGGATTCAGAGGGAAAGTTCCTTAAAAAAGATGCCTTCTTACCATTTTCAGCAGGTTGTTCTTCAGCTGTTTCGTCCTTAATGTCTGTTTTGTTGATTGCATCATTTTGTTGCCACCAACASTGAAGACAGYGAGCTAACTTTCTCTGTTTCCCTGCAGGTAAACGTGTGTGTTTAGGGGAGAACCTGGCCAAAATGGAGCTGTTCCTTTTCTTTACGACTCTTCTCCAACGCTTCACCTTCGCTCCTGTTCCAGGAGAAATGCCCAGYTTGGAGGGTGTGATGGGCTTCACTTATTCCCCCAAYGAGTTCAGGATGCTGGCCGTGCCTCGCTGAACCACACAAGCATCAATGATTTTTATTATTTCATTATTTTGATTCTACATTGTGTAAAACCTCAWAATAATAATTTATCAAACCAGTGTAATAAAAACTTCATGCTGATTTATACAGGAACTACCATTAGTGTATGATTAAGTAAAAACAATGTTTTGCTGCATTTTTGTATCTCTTCATTCAAATTGTTTTATAATATTTTAAACCTGTTTACTGTCTGTACATCTGATCTGTGCCTCAAACATTTATCTACTTTTTATGTAACTTTACTAAAGAATTTTAATTTGTATTAAACAGCGTTTTGTCTTCATGTTACACAACAAGTACTTATTACGTTTTCAGCGGAAATATTTCCCAAAGATATGTTTCTTACAAATTATTTTTAGCCAACTTAAAAGTGAGTTCACAGATGTGCTGCAGTAAATCATCTTACTGAAAGCTTCAAATTTCAGACACATGGTTGCTTTTTTAAATACAGATATAACATAAAGTAGCAGACGAACGTAGATAACCCACTCCTTGTTCCCTTTATACACGATTCTGTTAGCAGATAGTTGAAACATTGCCAGCTCCAGCCTTGTTTTTTTTTTTTTTTTCAAATGTTGCAAGAGGCCATTAACGTTATGTAACATTCCGGTTTCTTTTTTCCCCCTCCTATTCATGCACTCTTCACCTATTTAGCGTCAAACTCTGCAGCCTGCCTGCAGGAAACAACTTGAGTTACTTCTTCGACTGACCTGTTGAAATAAAAACTCCACCATGATTTTTCAAGGACTTTTAGATCGACTTGACTTCACCAGTTGGTTGTTGTTGGGTTTTCTGCTCCTGATTTTAATTGACGTGGTGAAAAACTGGGCTCCTCACAACTTTCCCCCTGGACCCTGGGGTGTTCCGTTTCTTGGTAACATCTTCACTGCTGTTGATTTTAAATCCATGGAGAAGGTGAGCTGAACAATGAAACTCTGCTGTGTGTGTGTGCATGTAGAGAAGTATAGAACTGTTTTTGCTTTAAAGCTTTACAGAATTTTCTTAGAGACACCAGAAGTAGTATAGGATCAAGTATGGTTTTCTTTAATGAGGGTTTTTTTTTTCTTTAGCAATACTAACATCATTATCAGGTACTTCCTATCTTAAGAAGCAACTTTTTCCCTCCAAATGCAGCTTACAAAGACGTACGGCCCCGTGTTCAGCCTGAGGAAAGGCAGTGAGAGGTATGTGTTTGTTTCAGGGTACAAGATGGTCAAAGAGGCTCTGGTTAATCAGCTGGACAGCTTTATGGACCGACCCATTGTTCCTCTCTTCCATGATGTCTTCAAAGGTCTAGGTGAGTGGGGGACGAACATGAACGTATAAACATTTTGACTGCTTTAGGACTGCTTTCCAGAAAAGAACTACCATATTTATGTGTATCTAATGCAATCTCAAGAATAATGTGAACCCTTTTGTTTCAGCTTAAAAAACATGAAAATTCCAATCATATATGATGCTACCCCTAATTTCACACAGACTTAAGAATTTTTTAGTCTAGAGAGGAAAAATATTATTTTGAGGGTTACCTATTTCATGCGACACCAGTAAAAGCTTGTTGGCCTGTTTGTTTAGGAGGAGGCTACAGAGGGGCAAAGTCTTACGAGGTACAGCATGTACTTCTGCATGTTTTGTTGCTGAAAATGGTCCTCTCCCAGAACAAAAGCTGGTAGTTAAATAAGCAATTTGGACAGCTTTGAGGAGCAGCCTGACTGTTCCTGTTAAGCATGCAAATGCGCAATTGACGTCCATGTCATATTTCCATCTCTGCAATTAACAAGTAAAAAACAATTTTCTCCTCTTCATCCAACACCACGACCCTCTCTTCAAACACCTGTTATGTTGTCAAGTAAAGAAACTGTTGTTGTTGTTGTTTAAATGCTTAGCTATGTGCAACATAATTGACAGCAGGACGGAGAAATAATGATGATTTATCCCCCGTGACTCAATATTTCATTTATACATGAAAAAATGTTTAAATTTATTGCAATATTACATTAAAAAATCTAATTATTTTGTCCTGTCCTGCCGTGTGAAACTCAGAGTTAATGGCTGAGTACCAAGGTTAAGCCCAACAGTTTTACTTTCACCATGATGCTCCACTTGATATATTTTAAACTTTATTAGAAATTATTTTGGAAATATTTTGATATAATGGACACAAAGTCGGAAAAGAAAAGGAGAAAGGAGAAGAAAGAGATTAAAAGAGAAACAAGGAGATGAGAAAAGTAAGAAACATTGAGAAAACACAAGAAAACACATTTGAAGTCTGCCTCTACACCTGCATAAAGAGAGAAAACAAAACACAGCAACAGACAACATAAGTGTATTTAATAAACATCATAGCCTCACTGAAAAGTACACAGTATAATTTTATGAAAGAAGTGTATTAGGTGGCAAATGACCGGGTGCAGTTCAGGTTAGTGTTAGGGTCAGATAGGTACCTGTGAGGTTATTTTTAGAATAAATGTTCAGGGTTAGGCTACAAAATTACCAAAAATCGAATGGAAGTCAATCCATGGTCTCTACGGGCATATAAAAACCAGACATGCGTGTGTGTATGCGGTTGTGAGCATGCTTGTATATATAAGGCTTCTCCATAGGAATGTTTAGTAATGACTGTGGAGACCTACAGATCCAAAATCCAAAATTTACTCCTGTGTATAATACGGCTTCACAAATTTATTAATGGATTTTGGGGTTATATTTTTTTGCATTGTACACATAAATACAGGTTGTTTTTATTTTGCGATGAAGGATCGGCTCAGAATGTGTTTAGACAGCCACAACTGGAGATTTTACAACCTGCAATTTATTCAGTATATTCATGCAAAAATGTTTGCACAGAAAGATTTTTTTTTTAATTTTTTACTATTTGGTATCATATTCTCACAGGTATTGCTTTGAGCAATGGTTACTTATGGAAGAAGCAGAGAAAGTTTGCCACCAGTCATCTACGTTACTTTGGAGGAGGACAAAGGAGTCTGGAGAAATACATTGAAGTGGAGTGCAACTTTCTCTGTGAGGCCTTCAAAGAGGAACAAGGTAAATAAACCGTTTTTGATGTTACTAAAGTGTTGTATTTGCTTCATGTGGTTCACTGACTTGAATTTAATTCCCATTATTTCCAGAAAGACCATTCAACCCCCACTACATGATGAAAAATGCAGTGAGTAACATCATCTGCTCTGTGGTGTTTGGACATCGATTTGAATACACAGATCCAAGCTTTCGCAAATTTCTGGAGTTGGACAATGAAGCCATTGTTCTCTCTGGCTCACTTCAAGCTCAGGTGATTCTTTTTTTAAGTGTTGTGCTCTTAGAAAAAAAACTGACTATTGTGTTTGTCCCTGACTGATCTGATAGTTTATCCAATCAAACAGCTGTATGATGTACTTCCTGGCTTGATGACGTACCTGCCAGGACCACACCAGACGGTCCACTCAAACTATAGGGAGATCCTCTCCTTTTTAAAGATGGAAGTACAGAAACACCAGGAGGAATGGAACCCAGATGATCCTAGAGATTATATTGATGTGTACTTGGCAGAGATGAAAAAGGTAACATGGTTCATGCACTGCAAAGCTTACGAGACTTAATTTAATAAAACCGTGTGAAAATTTTGGTTTGATTAAACTAGATGGCCTGTAGATAAACTGGAGAGTAAAGAAACACTGACAGAGAAAGAAACAATGATCCAGAAAGATGAGCATCTGATTTGAACTTTGACAACTGCAAACATGAAGGGAGGTGGAACAGATGTTTTCTTCTTACAATGAGAAAACACTGCAACCCAGTATCTATATTCTCCATCCATCCATCCATCCATCCATTTTCTTCCGCCTATCCGGGGTCGGGTCGCGGGGGCAGCAGCTTCAGAAGGGAGGCCCAGACCTCCCTCTCCC